CAAGCTCTGCGGTGCAGAATGGAAACAAGAGGGTTCCAGGCAAAAATTCAGGGGACTAGTTAAAGAGAAGAAGGAGGAGCACCTACAAAACACAGAGGCTGAGCATTGCTGTCCAGGGGAGGATGTTAATGAGGCAGCAGGAGGGGAGGAAAGTGTCACAGTGCCAAGGGGTCCCTCTCCCCCATTTACACAGAAGTGGCTCTAGTGGGGAGTGACAGAGACAACTCACCTGCAGGGAGACACTGACGGCACCGGCCGATTCCCCAAAGATGGTGATGTTTTCTGGGTCACCCCCAAAGGCCTTGATGTTCCTCTTCACCCAGGCAATAGCCATGTGCTGGTCCTTCAGCCCGTAGTTCCCTGAGCGGCACAGAGCACCCACCACTGAGCAAGGGCACAGCAAAGCTGACCCAGCACAGGGTCCCCCCCAGACACAGAGGGAGCAGTGGTGGTACCTGGCATGTTTTCATCTCCTGTGCTCAGGAAGCCCAGGGGCCCCAGGCGATAGTTGATGGTGACCACGATGACGTTGCCCCGCACGGCGATCTCCTCGCCATCGTACAGGTAGTTATCCAGGAAATTGGCTCCCTGGCTCCCTCCCACCAGGAAGGCACCACCATAGATGAAGACCATCACAGGCAGGTTGGTAGAGACTGTCAGGTGAGCAAGAGGAGCAGAGTGAGCCACAACAGAGCCAGGAGGTGCAGCCCATCCATCCCCTCACCCACTCCCTGAGCATCACTGCACCTGGGCAGGAACAGACAATGCTCTGCCATCACCTCTGGCCAAGGAAGTCCTTGCTCTGCACAACAGGCTGAACCTCCCAAGAGGCTGCAGCTGGGGCTTGTTGCCTGACACAGTTCCCACCTTTCTCCCCCAAAATCACTGCTCAGCACTTGCCCACTATGGGAATGTAACTGCTGAGAGATGCTCCAGAATAATCTGTGCATAAAATGCAGCTGGGAAGCTCCTGCCCAGGTCCCTGCCAAGCACATACCCTGTCTCCTGGCTTGAGGGATCCATATGTTCAGGTAGAGACAGTCCTCTATCCCACGGACATCAGTCTGGGTGAGTGTCATCTGCATGCAGCGATTCTTGAATGATTTTGCCTTCAGTGTTCCTGAAAGGAGAGAGGGAAGACAGCATGTCCTAGTTAGGGACATCAGCTCCATCCACTGGTTGCAATCCACCCATCCTTTGCTCTCTGAGTCCAGTGCAGAGGCAGAAAAGCCTCCCAGCCACTGTGACCCATCTGAGGAAGCGACAAAGTGGGAGCCTTGCCCCTGTGAACTAGCTCTGGACAGCCATGGCCTGGGGAGGGCAGGTGCAGGTGCCATGCTTCAGTTTTGTTACTTTCTGGGGTTACTTGAGTTGCTTGGGAACACCTAGACACAGACTCGCAGACCCTCCAGGAGACAAAGAGCTTCTTCTTGGCTCTGCTTACTCGATAAAAGCAGGCAACAACATCTTTGGCTTGCCAAAAACAGGCTAAAAGAGAAGCAAAAAAAAAAAAAAA